TTTGACCCTTGACAGCAGAAGGCGGGTGGGCGCTTTGGGGGGGCAGGGAAGGCGGGGGCCACAAACTATCATCTGGAGGGCCGTAAATGGCCCGGGGGCCACATGTTTGAGACCCCTTGGCTAAAGTATTGCAGGAAAATATAACATGCAGATTTAGCTTTCAGAAAGTGCACGAGCAATCTCTGGCCAAAAATCTAGTAACAAATCTAGCCCAGGAAAATTAACTCTGTGTAAAGATCACAAGAGAAACCTGATGAGGGAAGTTTAGATTCTCCCCGGAAAAGTAAATGAACCCACCGTAAAAAGCAGAACCTCTCTCAGAATTCTGGCAAAAAGGGTAAAGTAAGGTCTTAAGGCTCCAGAACAGTCAAAATCTGCAAAAAAGTAACATTAACAGGAGAAAAGTGAGTGGGGAAAATCCACATAGCCTCCAGCAAACAAGCTCCCAACTTTTCCTGCAATAAAAATAGAGATGGTTCTGCGTGTTTCTAATTTCCCCATTCTCACACCATGACCTTAGCCCTTTGATTGGTTTTATTTGCATGAAGACATAACTGGAGGCTAAAATTATTTTTGTAATTATTACCGTTAAACCAAGTTTAGCAGGGCAGCCGAGAGCTCATCTCCTGGGAAGAGCAGATTCTGCTGCCCTGGATCTCCGAAGAAGCAGCCCGAGAAGGGATGTCTTTGAGTGACCTTGTTAGATCATTTTTGGATGCTGGACACGCGAGCCATGCCTTTAGATGGTAAAATATATTATTTCAACATTTGCTCTCCCGCCCTCCTTGTTCTTCAAAGCCCTTCTGCTCTTTCCCCTGTGCTGAGGTGCAGTAGGACTCTTTTGCACAAATCCTGGCAGCACATAAGTTATTTTGAATGTCACCGTGCTCTGCCACACGGAAAGGCCACCTGTGTTTCTGCGACAGTCTTTGCGAACTGGTGACAAAGAAGAGGAAAACTTGAAAGCCTCGTTATCACCCCATCCCTTTGTTAAAGCAAGGAGGGGCCCCTCATTTAAGGTGATCTCCTTGTTCTGGCTCTGAAGAGGATCCTCCAAGGTGGCACTACCTCTGATTTGCTTTGTGTAAATGCAAGTGGATAAATAGGCACCA